CCAACCTTCTAGAACACACTTTCTAATCAAACTAGTGGTTTGCCATCTGATTTATTTTGGGTTGTAGCCATCATTAGTCCTAGTCCTAGCAGTTCCACTGAAATCAATAGACTTAAGTCAGTCATGTCCATTGATGTCAATGAGTCTACACCTGAGTGGTAGTAGAACTGGATATGTTTATATCTCACATTACCTCCCTCTCTTTTGGCACAACTGGATAAAATTTGCAGGCATATTAGGCCCTTCTGAATTGATAACTTCTGCAAAAATTCCAAATAGGTGCAGGAGCTTCTGTACATAGCACCTTCAATAATATTTTTTTGAGTTAGTGTTGGATGTGTGGGTATGTGACACAGACAAAAAGGACATGCATGTCCAGCATTTTCCAAGCAAGCATCACCAGCCGAACAAGCAGAGAGCACAGAACCAGAGAGAACAAGGCTACATACATAGTTCAGTTGGCAGAGCATGAGACTCTTAATCTCGGGGTCATGAGTTTGAGCCCCATCTTGAGCAAAAGATTCCTGCATTGCAGGGGGTTGGACAAGATGACCCTTGTGGTTCCTTCCAGCTCTGATTCTATGAATATCTAAGGTGACACACCAATCTGACATCCCTACCCTAAAGCATTGTGATTGGAGAACCCTGACAAAATTATCCCCTCTGATTGGAAGTGAAATCTGTCAGTCACAAGAGAGTTTTATTCTCCCTTGTTGTTGTCATTTCATTTATATAGCAAATGTGGGGACAATTTTTTTTTTGCAGACACACTACCTACAGTGCTTCTTAAGCGATCAAATCTCCAAAGCATTATGAGGCACTTCAGAGGACCCAAGTTAGGTTCAAGGTGTTTTGGACAGACCCAGTGCAGCTTGGACAAGCTTCAAATCTGTTCATAGTGTCTTGCTTCACTTTAGGATTTGGATTCATCTGAATCTGATGCATACCCTAATTTGAACCCATGACTCCCCAATCCTAGCTTGAGACCGTAACCACTACATCACACACTTGGGTGGTTTTGAACTGGTCTCATCAGTGCCCCCCCCACCTCAGCCTTTTGGATCTTCTTTTCTTGTCCAGTCAAGTGGCAACCTTAATGCCAGCTAATTGGCATATCAAAATCTATATAGGAAAATGGCTTAGCATTGGTTCATATAGCTCAGTAATGCCTACACTGACCGGCAGTGACTCCCAAGTGTATCAGACAAGTATCTCTTGGAGATGCTAGGGACTGGACCTGGGATCCTTTGCATGCAAAGCATGCGCTCTATCACCAAGCTATATCCATACAAGTTATCATATAAAATTCTGAATGGGTTTCAGTTTAGTGAGATAATATTTCCTTTTCCTCTGCTGTGCTGATCCTCATATCACCCTTTCTATCAGAAGACTGTGAGCATAAGTAGAAAGGCTAGCTGGACTCTTATTATACCCCCTGCTTTCCCTTTTGATACACTAAGAGGAAACTACTACAGCTTGGAGTGCAACTGTTCTTCCTGCTGAGCTACCATCCGCTTTTGTCAGGGCTAATACAGGGACTGGCAAATAAATCGGGAAGATGGGGGTAGAAACCTGTCGAGTGGCAGTGGAGGTGTGGTGAGGCTATAGTGGTTCAGGTGAGGGCTTAAGAAGCTGCTTTGTGGTTGCCCTGGCAGCTGAAATATGTTTACACCTCTCTACCTGGACTGTCAGAGTGAATGGGCAGAGCAGCTGCAATGAGTGCATCCACTGAAAACCTGGGTTCTGGGGGAAAATATCCTGCCTCACTAATTGATGAGCCCTGATTTTGCTCAGTGAAGAATCTGGGATGTAATCTAAACCATCATAAGTAACTGGTGGTTTTATTGGCAACAGCATTTGCCGGCATCAAGTTACAAGTTAAACAACTTGATTTGGGGGAATCCTTGATTGTTCGTTTCCTAATGACACTTAAGAGACTCTGAGGTAGAGCATGCTGTCATCTTCCCTGCTCATTTTTTTTGTCATCGCCTTCTCCCAACATATGACACACACAAAAATAAATGAAAACAGGAATGATGTAAGGTGTTTCTAAAACAAAGAATGTAGTGGGGAGAGTGAATAGAGATAATTTTATCTCTCAGCCACTTTTTATGATACAATGCTAACATGAAAAGCAGGCCTTAGGGGCAAAATGCATGTTAATCTTACCATATTTCCAGTGGGGTAGCCACACTACACTGTTGCAGCAAAATCAACAGAGTCTTAAAGACTAACAAATTTATTCTGGCATAAATTTTCCTGGACTACAGTCCACTTCATCAGATGCTTGAATTGTTAGATAACGTACAGCTAAGGGTAATTTACCAAAAGTTAAGATGCATATATTAACTACCAAAGATGGTGCCTCTGTAGTGAGCAATCTCTCTTCTAGGTGTAATTCTTGGAATGACTGATTAGACATGTCATCACAACCTTCACAGTGAGTCTACACATATACATTCAAGTGACCACGAAGGAATGTTTGGCTAGGATGTGGAGGTTTACAGCATGAGGACTATGTCTCATGACGAAAGTACTTCCAAGAGCATTTTCAGATAGAGGCTTTGTTTGCAAATGGGTCACAAAGATGTCACAAGTGGCAACTGATTTATTTTTTTAATTCCTTTGGAAAGTATAAATCCAGTTTAAATGGGGAGGGGAATGTGGGCTGGCATTTTAATGACAATGATGTTGTTGTGTGGACACTGCAAAAATAAATAAAAAATGCATGCGTGAAGAGCACTGATCCCAGAATAAATGTCCATCAGGAAGCACCCTAAATGTTACAAGCGGGTGGGAATCGCTTGCCACAGAGAGGCAGAATTCCAGTGCAGGTATAGTGCATTCACTAACTCTTAGCTTCTAGGTGCTTATGTGGTCTAGTAGTCTGCTTTCATAATGGGTTAAAAGCTGGCCACAGTGAAATTTGTTTCACAAATGTAAAACAATATGCTTTTGTATAGATGAAATTTCTTTAGGTTGGATTTACATGTTTGTTTAGGGACGCGGGTGGCGCTGTGGGTAAAACCTCAGCGCTTAGGACTTGCCAATCGCATGGTTGGCGGTTCGAATCCCCGCGGCGGGGTGCGCTCCCGTCATTCGGTCCCAGCGCCTGCCAACCTAGCAGTTCGAAAGCACCCCCGGGTGCAAGTAGATAAATAGGGACCGCTTACCAGCGGGAAGGTAAACGGCGTTCCGTGTGTTGCGCTGGCTCGCCAGATGCAGCTTGTCACGCTGGCCACGTGACCCGGAAGTGTCTGCGGACAGCGCTGGCTCCCGGCCTATAGAGTGAGATGAGCGCACAACCCTAGAGTCTGTCAAGACTGGCCCGTACGGGCAGGGGTACCTTTACCTTTACCTTTACATGTTTGTTTTGCCACTGTTATGGGGTTTTTTTGGGGGGGTATAATTTTATTTTATTTGCTATGTGTGGGACTCCCCTCCAAACATAGATACCAATGTATAAACTGTGATGACACACACTTTTGACATCATTTTTCTAGCTACAGATCCAGTGAAAAGTTTCCTCTTATTTCTTGTTATTGGTGCTGAGGGGGGAGGCCTACACTGGTTAACAAATGTGAATGTTCAAGAACCACCCGTAGTCCTTTTGAAATTTCAAAACTTGAAAGATTAATTGCTCCTCCTGGGCCCTTCCTTCTTTACTCTCTGTTTCTAAATGGGAAGAAAATCCCATTTCGACAGAACTTGCTTCCCCGGAAATGTACTTTGGAACTCAGCCTAGCCCAGCTCAATAAAAAATCAATGGGAGATGGTCTGCACTGTAAGCAAGTGATATATAAAACTGGGAACCTTCAGGTGAATCCGATGTTGCAGTGTTGCTCTGATCAGAGAAAAGGATCTACAGTAATGATGTGAAAAAGAAAAGTAAGGTTCTCTGTGTTGTGTTGGGGAAATTTTGATCAGGGGTGCTGCTATCAGAGCAGGGCTTTGGGCAGGGGTGAAACTAGGCTTTATTTCATCCGGTTCAAAGACCCAGTTTGGCAGAAACCCTCCATGCATTTGTGTGCACCCCTCTGGAGGCTTCACCCGGGGCAAAAAAACTGGCTAGCCTCCCCCCCAGCTACATCTCTGCTTGGGGGCAGAATAAGCAGCCCCCTCCCACAAATGCAGCAGGCCTGGGTGCATTTCCCCCTACATCACCTCCCACATGACTATTAAGTCCAGAGTCTAAAAGGACCTCAGCGCACCACTGTTTTCACTAATGGTTGCACTGTTGCCAAAAGTTTCAGCCAGCCTTGCCCAAACTTGTGCCCTCCCAATATTTGTGGACCATAATTCCCATCATCTCCAGCCAGCCCTGCTGATTTAGGCTATTTGGGCTTGACCCTTGCCCCCCCCGCACCATTCTGAGGCATAGAACAAGGTCTCAGCTTCATTTCCTGGCGTCTCTAATGTCCCCTCTGCCCAAACCCTGGAGAGCCTCTGCCGGTTAGTGCAGTCAGTACTGAGGTGGGCGGAGCAGTAAAAGGTAGCTTCCTATTTCCCATTGAACACAGAGTGATTTACTTCTGAAGAAACGGTTCGGGAATTGTGCCCCATGCCTCACAGTTCTCCGTGGCAAGGGGATTTTCACCGGCGATGACACGATCGCGGTTCAGCCTGCAACGCATTTGCTGCGAACCTTTTAATTCAGCCTCTACATCCTAGCCAAAGCAGCTTTTGCATCCCTTTGCAAAACCGGACAACCATCCCCTTGTAAAGCAAAGCAAGACACGTTTTTCCACGTCCAGAGTGTTGCTGCCGACCCATTCTTGCTCCCGAGACGATTTCTCCCCGCCCCGCCTCCTGCGGCACCCTCGGTTCTTCCGACAAGCCATTGCGAGCATCACCGCTTTTAAGGCTCCTCGGGCGGCATTGCCCCTTTAAGAGCGCGCCAGCCTCCTTCGGCTTGCGGGCCTCCCCTCGCCTGCTCTTCATTCTCTTCTCTCCTCCTCCTCTCCTCTAGCGCGCCGGTCTGCACAGGTGTGGGCGCCCTCTAGAGGCCGAATCCGGGCGAGCCGAGCAGCGACTGCAGCCCCTTTTGAATGTGTCTCTCCGTCTGCCTCCCTGGGAAGTCAGATCGAGGCTGGAGTTCCATTGGAACCCTGCGCTGCATTCCTTTCCATTCATGCTGGGCAGCAGCGGCGGCGGCGGCAGAAAAGCAAGTGGAGCGCGGAGCCCGGAGTTGCAGCGCGGGGGTTGTTCGGTGTGGAATGTAATCATGGCAGGCGCCTCCGAAGCAAGCTCCGATTCAAGCTGTAAGTCACCCCGTCTAACTTTCCTCTTTGAGGCTTTCCGTGGATACGTTTCTGGGGTGGCCTTTTTTTTTTTTGGTATGTTTGTTTTGTTTGAAAAAAGCAAGCGATCGTTGCAGAGAGGAAGACGCGAAAGAGGTGGTTTGCATGGAGAGGGTTGAGAGAGCGTAGCGAAACGCCTTTCTCCGCTTCCCTGGCTTGGCTCCGAGATAGTTGAGCCTCATTCAAGAGAGACACACTCACAAAACACACACACACACGGGGAGATGTTCAGCCTTTCTTAGCTCGGAGGAAGCCTTTTCTGTTTTACTGGGGGCGAGGTGGTGGGGGGCAGAGATTTGCGGTTCCGGACGCGGCGAGAGACCCGCTTTCCATTTAGTTGATTTATTCCTTTCTTTTGCATGCGGGAGGAGAGAGGAGTTTGCTGGATTCTTTTGCTGGGTGGGATCGGCGGCGCCGACGCCGCGGCGCTGCTATTATTTGGGGTGGTGGTGTCTTTGGTATGTGCGCTGTGTGTGCCGGGGAGATCGTAAAGTAGGGAAAGCGCGTGAGACGAGCACACACACACACACACGCACGAGCGCGCGCACACACACCAATGTGGCATGGGGGTGGGGTGAGAAAGGGGACCGGCTCATCGCTTGGCCAAAAACGCTAGCCCGGAATGGTGTGGTCGGAAGGCTTTTCCCCGAGGGGGATCTCGGCATCAGGAAGAGCGAGAGAGGCTGCATGGGTCCTTCGGTGAAAAGGAAGCAGAGAAATGTGGCCGGCGAGGCAGGCTCGGAGCGGGAAGAGTTGACAATGAGACGCGGAGGAGCGCTGGCAATTAAAAAGTGTGCGTAGCGAACGCGGCACCTCGGCAGCCTTTGCGACGCGCGAGAGAAGGGCGTGTGCGCGCGCGTGGTTAGCGGCGGCCGTAGTGGCGGGTGGTGGAAACGGAATGGAAAGGGCTGGAATGGATCCGCATGTGGTTGTAACAGCGACGCTAGCAAGAGATGCGCGGCGGGGAGGGAAAGCCGAGCGGGGGTGGAGGGCGGCGGCGGCGGCCGAGCACGAGGAGCAGCAGCAGCAGCAGCGCTTCCTTGGAGAGCTTTGGAGGCACTAAAAATGTGCCGCCGCCGCCGCGCTGGTTCCGTGCATGCGGAGGTCTCTCTCTTTGCCTTTCTCCTTCCGCAAACACACCCCTCGGCACACCATGCCTGGGCGAAGGGGGGGGGAAGTAGGCAAGGACGGAGCTCGCTTGGAGGCGGCGGGGGGAGAAAACTGCAGCAGAGCTGAGCGAGGACGGCAGCCTGCGTGTGTGGCTGCGCGGGTGCAGCGTGGCGCTCCGACTGCCGCTTGCCAGCTCTTTCCGCATTTACCTTGCGCTTGTGGGTTATTCTCCAGGAGCTCCTGCCTGCCTCCGCCTTGCTCGGAGGGAGGGGAGGGAGAGGGGCCGGCGCCTGGCGAGCGGCTCGGCAAGCCTGCTGTATTCCATCTTTTCCTTCCTTTTTTCCTTGGGGGTGTGCGGGGAGTGTGTGTGTGTGGACAGAGAGAGAGAGAAGCTGGCTTTGGATAGACACTGTCTTTTCTGGCTTCGGAGGCTGGCGAGGGGAGGGCAGCAGCTTCGCAGTGCGAAAAGTGACTCAACTCTCCAGTCATCCTCGTCGGCGCAATGAACCCGGTGGAGATGGTCGTGTCATTTCCACCAGCCATTCCCCCTTGCTCGCTCTCCTGATTTGCAAGGGGGAAAAGTTTGATCGCAAAGATTTTTATTATTATTACTATTTTCCTTTTATTGGGATGTCGGGGACGGTGGACCGCTGAGATCGGGCAGTTAGAGGACCCCCCCCCCGGGCACAATCTTGCAACCCACAGCAAGTCTAAAGGGAAGGGGACACACCATTTTCTCCCCTAGCCTAGTTTTGGCGTCATTGCCCCAAGCCTCCCCCGATCCTCTTCTCCCTAAATCCGTCCCTCCTGGCGCCCGGAGTTGAAGAACTTTGCCTGGGGAGCGAGTCGTCCCTTTGGCTTGGGAAGAAGCCCCGTGAGCTTAGCGAGAGATGCCCCAGCCGAGCTGGAGGAGTCCCCGCGGGGCTGCCTGGCTGCTGTGAGGCAGGATGTAGGTACCCACACCTTGGTTCTCCTTGCCGCGAGGCTTTCCTCCATCCAGGCTGCTAGAGTTCCTCCTTCCAAAAGGAAACCGCTTTCTCCTTGCTTGTCAACTTCCTTAATGGGCAAGCAGGAGCTAATCTGGCCAGCCAGCAGTCCAGTGATTCCAACCCCACACTGCCCTCATTGGTATTAAGGGTGGCGGCTGCTGATGGGTCTTGTTGTGTAGCCTAGTTCGTTAAGCAGAATAGCCCCCCCCCCCACTTTTCCTGCCCCCATCTGGTAATGAGAGAATCTGTGGACCAGGAGTGCTGTAAGAATTCAAGGAGCCTTTGCACAGCGCTTCAAAAAGCACGTAGCACCATATTATGGGTTATTCATTCATGAATTATTCTTGCTGATTATGGTGTAGTTTAGGAAAGGCTCCGAAGCTCTGCCACCCAACAGCAACCCTCCTTGCACCCAGATGATAAATATAGCTCTGTGGAGTGAATAAGAGAGGCTGTTGTGTGTTGTGTGTAGGTGTTATCCATAATGCATATGTATAAGCCTTTACATTAAACAAAAACTGGAGGTTGTAAACCACCCTGAACCCTTTCGGGAAGACAGGGTAAATGTCTAGGTAAAGAATAAATTTGTTCAAATAAAAATAAGCCCATTTATGCAGAGTGTAGCTCTTGCTTGCATATTTGTTTTTCAGAATTGCTTTCCTAGAACCACTGTTCTAGTTATTGGGTCCTGTGTGTGTGTGTGTGTGTGTGTGTATGTGATACAGGTATAAAATCTGTGTCCAGAGCACACTCGCAAGGCTCCAGCATATTTGAGTGCAGGGCTTTGCAGACATTCAGATGTGGTCTGGGTCCAATCAATAAATGAATATTTGATCCTTTTTCCCCCTTTGATTTTTTATGTGTGCGCATTCTTCCTTTCCATCCAGTGAAATTCTCTCTCATCACCTTAGCCGTGTGTTTATGCATATTGATTAAGTGTCTGGATTGACCAGCTCTGACTGGGGGATTGTGAAGCAAGGAGGGTATAGGCAGAATTTACATGAGATCAGTAGTTACAGAATGAACCTAGTTAGGAATCTGGTAAATTAGGAAGAAGTGTGGGATTTAGCCTTTCTAGTTAAAAACCCTTTCCCCACTCCCTCATGCCCACGTGTTTTGAAGAAAGTATCTTCAATATCGTACAAATTAACATTTACAATAATCCTTTTAGAAACACAGCAGGAAGAAAAGTTCAGATCGAAAGCTGCCTTTAGGAAGTAGTTTCCCCCCTCCCTTAAGATGAAATCTGTAAGCAAACAGACTTCTTAGAATACAGTTGGTTATTGCCCTTTCAGTGGAATAAAAATTATTCATCCATTTTTTGTTGTTGCAATGATGAGGAAGAGGGATCTGCAAAGGATGAGCACAGGGCTATTGACTGCATCAAAGGTTATTCATTTGAAAACATCATTTCCCTCTGTATAGCATCTAATTGCTTCCTGAACAATCTCAAAGTCTTTTGTATGTACTCAGTGGGTAAAATGAGTGACTCGATATCTCTCTCTTAAGATACTGGTTGTGACCAAATTGTGCAGAGTGAGGAAATCAAAGCAAATTAGCAGGCCATCCCCCTACAACTTGCAGCTAGAGGCAGAGATAATTTCTTAAGTGGGTTATAAAGAGAAGAGGCTTAAAAATAAAATCTTCTGCTTCAGACTGTTTGCATAGTTCAGCTTGTTTTATATTAGTAAATTACAGTGCTGGTGGTGCTGAGACAATATCGAGTCTGTGTGGGTGGGAAGGAAGTTTAGATCCAAAATATGTGATCGTGTAACAGAGCAAGACGCTGTGGGGAATGCTAGATGGTAATCCGCTGTGTTGCACTCTGGATCTGTATTTTTGTTTTGGATCCTGCTGATTCCTCCCTTTAACCTGATCTGCCTGTTTGGATTAAGATCCCATTGTGCCTAACATGCATGTATTCCTCTCTGGTAGATTTTGCAGAAACAATAGCCAGAGGGCGATTATTGCTTTTCACAGTTGGATTGCTGGGTGTTCTGTCCCATTTGTGTGATACCTTAGCAAGCTTTTCAGGGACACTAAAACACCCCTCCTGCCCAATTAGAATGTGTATTAAACTATGTACTTAGGTTCAGATATGTCCAATTGTTGACAACATTCTCCATTGAGATATGGACTGCTTGTTCCACTAGCAAGTGCCATCGTTTTCAGATATTTAGGGGAGGGGCTGTCACTCCCTCATAGAGCACTTGCATTATATGTAAAAAGTCCCACCTTCAGTTCCTGGCATTTCTAAGTAAAGGGATCTTAAGTAGCAGTGCTTGGAAGCCCCTTTGCCTGAGATGCTGGAGGACCAGAACTGGAAGTATTTATTTTCTACATTTATAGCCCACCTTACTTCCATCATGGTACTCAAGGTGGCATATGTTGGATTCATAAAGGTTGTCTCCCATCCACTGACCAGATGCACACCTGCTTCAGCATCATAGATGGACCAAGGGTTTGATTTAGTATAAAGCAGCTTTATATGTTCATGTAAAATGTTATTAATTTATCTTAAATAGAACGTTCAAAAATAGTATATTGAATGTAAACTTTATTTTTCTGCATCTCCCCACACCATTTTATTTTTTAAAAAACCCGTGTCCTCCCAGCAAACAGTCATTTCCCACATGATAATCACATCATCAGATCTATTTACCATGCTAAGCCAGTTGTTTCCATACAGTCACTCACTCAGTTTTTAGATTTCACTTTATAGGAATTGTGGTTTTTACCTTGATCCTAAACATGCAAACAAATGCCACTGATTTCAGGTGAGTTTGTTTCTAACAAGTTAAGTGAAGGAGTGCAGCCTTAATTATTAGGGAATTTAATTTGTGTTTCTCTCTCTCTCTCTCT